CAAGGATGGAGTTAAAGCAAGACTAAACTTGCTTCATGTAGAAATATGAACAAACTTGGGTCTAAGAGCAGAAGGAAAGAGGATTTACATGAGCCCAACCCCTCATACTTTGTTAAAGAAAGAGAAAAAAGGTTGTGAGCACTGTATTTTGTTCGGGCTTTTTTTAAATTTAATAAAAATAATAATAAATAACCAAAAAATATATAAAAATACAAAAGTGAAATTTAATCCTTTTTTAGGATTATATTTCCAAAACAAAAAATTTTAATAGGGTTTAGTTTTAACCTAGATAATCTTTTGTTGCTTATGATCTTATTTCTTTTAGTTCATTAAAAATAATAAAAAAAATGCAAAAAGGAAATTTAATCCTTTTTTAGGATTATATTTTAAAAAATATAATAATTTAACAAAATAAAAAAATAAAGGTTAAATCTTGAAAAAAAATATCTCCCAAATTATCCCAATCATTTAAGAATATTGGGAGTCAATTTTTGAGAGTTAAACTTTCTCTCTTTAAATCTTATTTTCCACTTAAAATATGTGTGTGTGTATTAATCTAATAAAAAATAATAATAACAATTAAAAAAATAATAATACATGAGGGTCGAATGACATTGATCATCATAGCCCAAAAAGGGCCTCCTTTTTTCAACACATGCAGGCAACACAGACGAAGGAATCAAAGGGCAAGATTAGAAGGCTGCATGGAAAAAAAAAGGAAGCCATGCCAACAAAAACAATGTCATGAAGAGAGCAGACTTTTCAGCTAAAGAGCACAGAAGAAAAGACCAGACAAAAACCTAGTAGAATAGAAGAAGGAGAAAAGCAGACACCAGTCGAAAACTTAAAGAGACAGAGATGAAGAAAGAGAGACAGAGAACCAAAGAGAAGGAAGAGTCACACAGAAAAAGAAGCAGATACGAAGCAGAGGAATAGAAACATGAAACACTAATGCAAAAAGCAAGAACACACATGCATGGAAAACATGCTAAAAACAAAGCACGAACAAAATGCAAAAAAATAGAAAAAGAGAGCATAATAAGAGATGTAAGGGAGAGACGGGAGGGAGAAAGGGGAAAGAAAAACAAAGCATGGAGGCCATATATACTCAAGAAGATTGAGGGAGAGAAAATGAAAAAGACCAAGTAGGAGATTCGGGAGAGCAAGACAGAAAAAAAGAGAACAAAAAACAGAGTAAGAGACCGAGAGAGATGAGTGTTTTTCTAGAAAAAGAAGAGATTGGGAGAGGAGGAGCAAGAGACCGAGAGAGATGAGATTTTTTCTAAAAAAACATAGTGATGGAGAAGGAAAGAGCACAAACAAAAATTAGAGACGAGAGGCACCCAGGAAAAAAAAGTAAGAGACAAAAAAAGAAGGAGAATAGACGCAGCATGAAAGAGAGAGAGAGACGAAGAGTGAAGGAGCAGCTAGGAACAAGATCTAAACGGAGAAAGAGATGGAGAATGAGAGGAACTGATAGTGTAACATCCCGAAATTTTAAAAATCGGATTTATAAAAAAAATAAAATAAAATATCTATAATTAAATTAAAATTTAGAATAATTTGATAGAGGTCCAGAGTTTGAATTTTACTAAGCAAAAGTTTGGTTTTATTTGATTTTTAACTATGAGAAAAATTACCAAAGTTGACCTAGGCATTTGTGTAATAATAAAAAATGTTGGGCCCTTTCTTGTAATTTGCCCCAAAATGTTTTAGCATCAGTTTTTAAGAGTGAAAGTATGCAAAAAATGCAGAACAAAGAAAAATAAGAACCGAACGCGTGAAAAAGAGAAGAGAGGAAGAAAAAAGGAGAAAGAGAGGGAGTTAGGCTCAGATCTAGGAGTTTTTGCGATTGTTATGAGCTCGGCTACACGATAGGTAAACTCCCTACTTCAATCCTTTTCTCTTTCTCTTGATTTTCTTCAATTTTTGGAAGAGGAGATTTTTGGATTTTAATTCCAAAGGCTTTATTCTTGTAAGCTTTCGTTTCTTTGGATCCTAGGGAGCATGTTTTGAGTTTCTATATAGTGATCTAATATTTTGAGTGGATAATTGGATGAAAAGAGGTGTTTTGGGAACAAATTAAACCCTGAGAGATTGGGTTTTGCTCCTCAATGGTTTAAGCCTATTGATTTAGTTATAATTTTGTTATTTAAGCCCAATAAGATTTAAATTAAGGTTTGGTTTTCATTATAAGGGCTAATGGTGAAAGTTGGTGGCACTAAGTAAAGGTTTTTAATTGATTAAAAATTATATAAATTGAATATTAGCCTAGTGATGCCTAATAAATGGTTTTGGTGGTTAAGCGATACTATGTGAATGGTTGGTTTAATATATGGACCATTGGGATAGACTATGGCTCATAGACCCAAGTTGTGTGGTATGAGTTATAGTCTTTATTAATGCTATTTGACATGATAAGTGATGTGGATCACTTATATGTTGTAGGAATTGTTGGTGGAATTTGTTCAGAAGTTAAGGAACAAGCTGAGCCCTATTTTGTACAAGGGGAACCCTTTTGGTACCAAAGGGTTGAGGTAACAGGGGAAATTTATATTTCTTATTACTCTGTTTTAGTTATTTTTGAATAAATATTACTAGCTATCATGCATTACATGTTTTAAAAGATTAAATGTGCTTTATAAGGGGTTATGGGGTACTAATTTGATTATAATGCAAATATGTTTTCTAATTGTTTAGCAACAATGTTTTTTTATAGAAACGAGATTTGTTTACATGTATTTTAATCATAAGGAATAGAAGTTGCACTTAAGGAAGTGTAACTAAGTAAGGTACCTTAGACAGGCTAAGGAACTGTTTAAGGGAGATTTATAAATGTTATTCTACCTTAGAGTGTTGAAGTGGTCAATACTCGGGAAAGGTAGACATGAATAAAAGGTATGATCTCGGTGGGAGTTTACCAATGAGAAGGTGTGTACTTTTGATATTCTATGGCACACCGCCAGTACTCAGTGTTGCCTTACGTATTATGGGCTCAGTGCACTAAAATAGTTAGTGTATTGAGTGTTTGACATCTCTCAGTAAAGGAGGGAATCCGACATATGAAGTGTGAGGTTGAGTGCCTAGGCCAAGGTAGCCCTCACATGGAGAGTAAGTCGAGCTAGCTTTGGGAGGGAGTTAGCTTTGACTGCTTAGGATTCACGTCGAAGGGGCATAGGGGTTCAGTGGATTAGATCATACCTTAGATTATGTTTGTGCCTGTGGAGGTATAAGTAGGTATAAGGTTTACCTGCGAGTTAAAGAGTGCCAGAGGGCATTCTGTTAGTCATGAAAGGCCATACCGGCCTAGGTCATGCATTCATATATTTTAAATGGCTAAATTATATACTATGTTTAATTTATTATTCGCTTATTTAATTATAACTTGCTTTGTAATAATCAATGTAGATTTCTCTGTTACTAAGACTGTGGTTGTCTAACCCCTTTCTTTTCAATATTCTAGGTCAGGCGAAGGATCCAGTGGTGGACGGGGAAAGGAGCAAAGCTAGGGGTTTGCTTATGATTTGTAAAGAGCTGTAACCCTTTCTTTTAAGCAAATATATTATAATGTATTTAGGATTAGGGTGCCAATAGGATATGATTATGTATGTGTGTGTGAATATGTGTGGATTGTGTGCTTGTGTATGAATTTTTGTCTGTTTGTAGACTTGTGGCTAGGAAACTTGGTTATGGTGTGTGGTTTTAATGGATTTACTCAGTAGACCAAGTTTCTATTACAAGCAGATATTTATTTTGATATATATATATATATATATATATGTGATTCTATAAGCAAATGCAAAGTGGTTGCATTGCAAATGTGTGCTCTGGGCAAGCATACACCTTGGATAGAGAGAGTGGGTGCGTGGGCCCCACAAGAAGCTCTGAGTCAAGTGAAAATGTTTAGCATATGTATTTACATAAATACATGGTATTTGGATTGATTTGTGACCACTCTTGTATGATTTGTGTATTTTGGGGTTTCAGGGTCCATTTTGAGAAATGGCACCCGGGTGGTTAAATTTTGATATATGGGGGTTTTCTATCATTTGAATATTCTATCAAGTGTTTTTAGTCTTATCTGACATGTCCAAAGTGTTCCCACAGGTTTGTGACCATTAGGATGAGATTTGGACAATTTTGAAAATGGTTTTTTACCAAAAAGCTACACTTTTGCATCCGGGTGTCCAAATCTTAATTCGACTATTGGATTTCTCTAAAATTTGGGTTACAAGTAAAACCTTTTATAAGCTTTGTGTGAGATTTGGAATCATGTTGATTGGATATCAGATGGAGAAACGGCGCACTCCGGAATTTGGTTGGAGTTGCTGTCATGACAGCATTTCATTGCTGTCATGACAACTACAGTAGTGATATTGTAACCTGAACAAAATTCAATCTATTCGTTGGATATTTTCAAAATTATGCTAATAGTATTCTTAAAAAGTGACATGTGGGCTTTGGAATCACTCTGATTGGAGGTCGGATGATGAAATGGTGCACTCCGAAAGTTGGTTTGGAAGTGCTATCATGACAGCAAAAGTGACCAAATTTATAACATGTTTAATTTTTAATCTGACCGTTGGATCTTTTTGAAATTTGGTACACTTATAGTACCTTTGAATGTGACGTGTGAGCTTTAAAATTTCTTCGATCGGAGATCAAAAGACAGAACGGTGCCTCCCTGAAGTTGACTCGGGAGGGCTGTCATGACAGCAATTTAATGCTGTCATGATAGCATATTTTTACCCTTCTTTCATCTAACTTGCTTCCGTGCACTATAGGTAGAACCTATAAAATTTTTTAAAGGCTTTAAATGTTTAATTTGCAATTGTGTATTTGCTTAGTGATTTAAATGGTTTGTTTCCTAAGTTGGTTTTAAGATTAATTCCTTAACCACACTTAGTTTATTTGAATTGTGTGATTTTGGATAACACTCGGGGCAAGTGTTACAGACAACATGCACACAAGCAAAGAAAAAGAAAAAGACCGAGTGAGGCATGAAGAAGATGAAGTCCATGGATGACAGTAGGAAACTGAGAAGGAGGAAGTGGGGCGCCGTCACAGTGGAAATCATGCATGCAATGTGGAAGCCTCAAACGTTCAAATACATCTATTTATTTGCCACTATTTATGTATTCACCCTCACCATACCATCCACTGCTATCGTCTACTGGGCCTTTGGAGACCAACTCACCAAGCAGTCTAATGTGTTGGCACTCCTCCCTCGCTCCAGCTGGTGTGATCTCGCTGTGATTTTAATGCTCATTCACTAGTTCATTACATTTAGGTTTGCTTGTATGCCATTGTACTTTGTGTGGGAGAAAGTGATAAGAATGCATGACACGAAGAGCATATGTTTGAGGGCTCTTTCGAGGCTGCCTATTATCATACCCATATGGTTCTTGGCCATCATTTTCCCTTTCTTTGGCCCTATAAACTCCACCGTGGGGGCTCTTCTGGTCAACTTCACTGTCTACATCATCCTTGTCATGGCCTATATGCTCACTTTCAGGTCTGCCTCCGTACGTCAGAAATAGAGAAAAGGAGAAGAAAAACCAGATGAAAGAAAGAAGAGAAAAACTGAGGACGAAGAATTTTATGAAACTATCTCCCTAAGTCTGCCTCTCATCTTCTTGATAAGCACATGGTAACATGTTTTCTATCTTCACTTATGATTCTAGAATTATCCTGGATGTTTGGATGTTCTGTTTTGTTTTATACCTTGTCAAGCTATGTGGGTTATGATTAATTTTCACAAATTGCAAAATAGAGACATTAAAGTGACTAGTTGCCTTAATAGCTCACCGTTGAAATTAACTCTCTTTTTATAATTTAAATCAATAAAATATTTAACAGTATCGTGTGAGATTTAAAGAATCTCTGCAAATGCTAAAATTAATTGCCTTATTGTGTAGGATAATAAATCCTCACAGATATCGTGATTTGCAATTTATATGGTAAATAAATAAATAAATTTTGTAAAAAAATAACAAACATTTTTATACTATTAATTGATTAAATTAATAAATTTAAATTATAATCATATTGTCTAATTAGATCTTTTGGTCATGTGAGATTTTTAAAATTCTGTAGACCTTAGGATAATCGTACTACTGTGAGAGTCAATAAGGCTTCGCAGGTATAATGATTGAGATTTCTATATTTAAATATGCATTGTATAATTACGCATTAAAATATATTCAAAGTGAATATTATTTAATCCTTTTATCGTGTGAGACTTTGTATCTCTGTAGATATTCAAGATAATCTCATATCATGTAAATCAATAAGGTTTCACAGATATGAGAGCAAAACTTATATGTTAATATGGGATCTGAAGGCCTATCATAACAATTAATTCTCTTTTTTCATAATCCAAATTAATAATTTATTTAAGTCCCCTATGAGATTTCATAAATTTTCATAGAGGCTTAAATCAATCACATCATCGTATGGGATAATAAGTCCTCACAGGTGTAATGATTCTCAATTTTTATAATAAATAAATGATTTTTGTAAATAATGATATAATACATAATTTAGAAAAATTAATTAATCAAATTAATGTATTTAAATTGTAATCATATTTACCAATTATATCTTTTAGTCATGAGAGATTTTTGAATCTCCACAGACTTCTAAGATAATCATATTATTGTATGAGTCAATAAGATTTTGCAGATATAACGATTAATTTTTCAAAATACATATATAAATTATATATTAAATTAATAAAATTAAGGATGTATTTAAATAAATTTAATTCCTTTATTGTGTGAGATTTTAAAATCTCCGCAGATATTTAGGATAATCATATTACCGTATAAGCCAATAAGGCTTTGCAGGTATGACGATTGAGAGTCTTTAAGACATGTACATACATGCTTAAATAAATTATTACTAGCACTTATAAATAAATTAAGTTGCTAAATTTTTTATCATGTGAGATTTTGAATCTCCACAAATATTTAGGATAATTGTATTACCGTAAAAGTCAATAAGGCTTTGCAGGTATGATGATTAAGAATCTTTTTTTTAAAAAAAAAGTATATATGTATATACATGCTTAAAATTATTATTAATACTTAAAAATATACATAAGAATATAAATAAATAAATTAAGTTACTAAATTCTTTTATCGTGTGAGATTTTAAAATCTCCATAGATATATAGAATAATTGTATTATCGTATGAGCCAATAAGGCTCTACAAGTATTGCGATTGAATTCCCGTCATAAGATATAAAAAATAGAAATAAAAATAATTTTTAAACCTTTTTTTATTCCAAAAATTTAAAAAATTGAGAAAATAGTTAAAATTAAATCACTTTTTGCAATTTAAAACACACACCTCAAAATTTCAAAAATTGTTTTATCTACAAAATGGTGAATTATTTTTAATTAATTTCTCTTCAAAAAAATTTTTTGCCAACCACTTTCAAAGCCTGAATTATGTGGATTTTGATCCCCATCACAAGGTACGTAGGCCTTAGAGTCGAATTCTTAGTCATGTCCTCCCTCCTAAATAAATAAATATTTCTCACTTAATTCTTATCATTTTTTAAACACATGAATATAAAAGAGATAATTAAAATAATTATAAAACCATATTAATATAGTATAACAAACTTTAGGTAACCGTTTTTATGAATGGGTGTTTTGGGGTGCCTAACACCTTTTCCATACTTAATCGACTCCCAAACTATTTTCTATTTTCGCAGACCACCTTTATCCACCATTAAATGGTTTCCCAAGATTTTCCTCAAAATTTTGGTGGCGACTCTCATTTCTTCGATCTTCTTTTCGAAGGCTGGAACCTCCACTCTCACGCCATCCGTATCACATTTTTCGGGTATGACAAAGGTTTTTATGAGTGTTTACATGGTATTAAGGTGCCACAAGGATATTCTTTAAATATAATAAACCTTGTATCGATGAAAGATTTAAAATTAGTTAGTCTGAAGTCTTATGATTGCCATGTACTAATGCAACAATTGTTACCAGTAGCAATTTGAGATATATTGGAGGAAAAGGTAAGAAAGTCAATTATCAAATTATGTGTCTTCTTTAATGTAATTTGTAGAAAAGTCATTTATCCTCAGAAATTAGATGAATTACAAAATAATGTTGTCATTTCCTTATGTCAACTTGAAATATATTTTGTTCCCTCATTTTTGACATCATGGTACACTTAATTGTGCATTTGATGAGATAGATAAAGTTGTGTGGCCTTATCTATCTAGGTTAGATGTATCCATTTGAGCAGTATATGAAAATTCTTAAAGGGTATGTGAAGAATCCTTATCGTCTGGAAGCCTCTTTTATTGAAAGATATGTTATTGAGGAAGTTGTCATGTTTTGTACTAAATACCTATCTGAAGTAAAATCTAGCAGAGTTCCCGAGCCTTGCCATGAAGGAATGAGAGTTGAAGGACAAGGGACACGAGGGATGAAAATAAAGCGCATGATATATGAAGAAATGCAACAAGCACATCTGTATATTCTAAATGACATCAATGATATTCAAGATTACTTGGATGCGCACAAAAAGGAATTAAGCAATTGGTACCCTAAAAAGGCCAATAAATGGTTGCTAAGTAAGCACAACAAAAGTTTTCCACTTTGGTTTAGGGTAAGGGTAAAGGAGGATCGTTAGAAGTCCAATGTTTCTAATGCAATAAGATGGTTAGCTAGTGGGCCTAACTTTAATGTTATAACTTGAAGTGCATATAAAATTAATAGGTATTCATTTTATACAAAAATACAAGATGACAATAGCATTATGCAAAGTGGGGTAACGATAGAAGCTGAGACAACTTATTTTTCTAGTGTAAAAGATAAAAATCCAACATTGACATCCTCATCATATTTTGGAGTCATTGAAGAGATATGGGAAGTTGATTACTTCAAATTTAAGGTGCTCGTTTTCAAGTATAAGTGGGTTGATATTAATAATGGTGTTCAAAAAGATAAATTAGGTTTTACTTTAGTGGACCTTCATAAGGAAAAACATAAGGATGAGCCTTTTATTATGGTAATACATGCAAAATAAGTTTTTTATATTATTGATCTAGTTGATAAAAGGTTGTCCATCATACTATTGGGAAAAAATATCCTTACTCATGATGAAAATGATAAAACAAGTTTTAACATTAAAGAGATTCCTCCTTTTATGCCAACCCAACCTTTATTAGAAGTGGAAGATGATGATGACGTATATGATATTAGAACTGATATTGATAAAGGTTTATGGGAGAATTAAAATATATCTATAATGGTAGCACAATATTAGTGGATCCTTTTTATTCTTTTTGTTTTATTTTTTATGCTTTCATTTTTTATATTAGTTTAGATTTATTATATTTTTTTGCTACTATCATTATTTATCTTATTTGTTTTAGGAGAAATATGGAAAAATCCCTCCAACAGTGGCATTGAAAAAAAAAGTCTAAAAAAGGGGCCATGTGATTTACTAAGTTGGCCCAAGTACATAAAAAGATTCATCTTGACTTTTATGAAAATAGCCAACCAATTGATAAGAAAAAAGGAAAAATTTTTAAGAGTTTTATGGTTCGTCAAAAAATTAGCATCTTGGAGGAAGAATGGGATCGTGTAAAAGAAAGTGATAAAGATAATGTTTGAGAATTTATACTGGTATTTCTAATTTCTCTATATCATATTTACTTTTTATTTTGAATTATATGTTGTTACTAAATTCATCATTAGTGTCTGTTATTTTCCAGATTACATATGATATAAAGGAAACTCCATTTTTAAAGGACAAGTAGCTAAAATGTGTCAAGGATTGATGGAGGGATTTTAAGTCCAAACTTACAAGAAAATATATGTTTCTCAAGAATAACAATGAAAATGATGATAGTGACAATGATGGTGGTGTGAAAAAACCTTGGAAGAAGTATTCATTCATTGATTATGGCACATGGATAAAATTTATTCATAGTAGACATAATTCTAAATTTTTGGTAAGCAAAAGAAAAATATTATATTAAACTAGTATTATTAAAATTTTATTTTAACAAATGCTTTTCATTGTTTGTTAATAGGGAAAAGTCAAAAGGCTTAAGACTGTCGAAAGAGAAAGGGGTATGCATATGTTTATGACATAATAACTTAAGAGAAGTAGGAGCTAAAAGACAAGTGATGGGGGTTCATAATATTGAAGACATTTCTCCTCCATCTCTTGTTAATTGTGTACAAGCATGGAAGAGAGGATGGATGACCAAAAAAGGAGAGTATATTTCCTCGGAGGCTAGAGTAGTGGTAAAAAAATTGTAAGTACTTTTATAGTCAACATCTTAATTATGTGATTTAAATTTACTAACTACGTTAGTTGATTACATGTTTTAGGATGGTCTTACAAAGGCATCCTCTCAAGGGACTTTTATATCTACTGGTAAGGAAGGATTTATTTGCCATAGTCTTAGGGAATGAAGAGCACCTTAGCCGTGTTAAAGGGGTTCCAAAAGGCATGGGCATAAGACAATATGTTGGACTACCACCATGTTCTTATCTTGTA